ACTCCCTAGTTTAGGGCTCTGGATTACATAAAAGCAGAAAAAGCAAGCTGAGAACTAAGCATTCATTTCTCTGCTCTTGACTGTGGATGTGACTAGCTGCTACAAGCCCAGACGACGGTGACTTCTTCCCAGTAGGGGCGGGAACGTGGAACTGTAAACCAAGATAAACTCTTCGTTCACAAAGTTGCCTTTTTTTCCGTGATATTCTACCACAGCAACAGAAAGGAAACTAGAACCACCACATACCAGCATTTTCCTTACCCTCAAAGAAAATGGTAACTTTCAAAAGACTGTCTTTCCCCCAAAAGATAGAATAAAAATATTTTTCATATTTTTGTTACAACTCAAAACTTTAATCCTCCCAGAGTCTCCTAGAACTCTTCCAAATGACAAATCAGATTTTATGACATGATTCTCAAGTCCCACTTCCAATCTGCATCTGGACAGCTGTCCTCCCCCTCCTGGGTGTGTGCCACCCCGTGCCGCACACACTCACTTTTCATCCTCCGTCTTGGCTTGCTCCATCTTGATTTCAGAGCGCATGCTCTCCACCTGCAGCTCTAACTTCTTGTTGCTGTAAACAAGCTCTTGCTTCTCATTCAGCTCTGATGGGGTTGCCGAGTTTTTCCTTTCCAGAGCCTGACACCTGAAAAAGATGAATATTTCATGAGGAGAAACGATGCTTTGTCACGCCCGTGGCTTCTGCACAGATCCTCAAAGGACTTAAAATACATAGCGAGTTAGGTCTACAGGATTTATGAAGGCAAAATAAAGTACTTTGTTCTTTTTGTTTCCTATTTGCTTTTTGTTTCGTTTCCTTCTTCCTTGCTTCTTAATGAGACGTGGTGATATTTTAAACCCCAATCAAGCGGTAGCTGGCTAAGGAGCATCTCATAGTGAAAATCCCTGGGTACCTTTCAGAGTTTAAAAAGTCTGTCACAAAGACTTGGATTTCTGACAAGGATTCAGTAAGAGGAAAGGAATGCCCCCGAGTTTCTCTTAGAGATCAGAAAAAGAACTAAGCCTCAGGGAGGTGAAACGGCTTGACCAGTGTGACATCAGTTTAGTTTAACTTGGTTTCCTAGCTTTGGCTAACTCTTGAACATGTTTATTTCCTTGTTTGTTTTGTGTGTATGTGTAGGGGTGTGCATGTGGAAATCAAAGGACAATCTGGAGGAATCAGTTCCGTCCTTCCATCATGTGGGTCATGTGGGTCCTGGGGATGGACTAAGGAACTCGGGTTGTCGGGCTCGGTGGCAAGGGTCTGCCCACCACGCCCACCTCACTAGCCCCTGCGCCTCCTTTTACACTACTCAGTTCAGGCTGGCCTCAAACTGCCGACCTTCCTCCTCAGCCTCTCCAGTGCTGAGATTGAAGTAATGTGCCACTACTCCTGGCTTGGTTGACTTCCCACTCCTAGCCCTATCTCAGTATTGGGTGCTGAACAGGGCCTTGAAGATGCTAGACAAGCACTCCGGCCCATCGGCTAAATTCTTAGCCATCAGATGGTTCCTAAAATCAAGAAAAACAAGCAGGGGCCAAAATATCAACATCTGTGTCAGTTTTAATGACTGAAGGGACCGAGTAGGATGGGCCTTTTCTAAATAAATTCCCACTCGATTCTTATGCTCATTCCAGACATCTTTTCCTTGCTTATCAGCCTCACAGCTCTGTACAAGGGTCACATAGGCTGGTGCTCTTCACAGCACAATCCGAGTCCTCTTGTGTCCTCATGATCCAGGTGACAACAATGGCTTCCGGCTTACACACCAACATCAAAACTCTCTTTTTTCTGAACCATTTCAGTTAGGTCCCTGTCTTTCTTTTAGTTAGGAATACAGTAACAAAGCCATTTTGATACAGTAACATACTTCATAAATCATGCAATCAAATTAATGAGTTCTTACTTTTCTTGAAGTCTCTTCTTCATTAGCTCAGCCTCACTGAGTTTCGTGTGTGCCTCTTGAAGCTCCTTAAACAGAGAGGTCACTTGAACATTCAACGTTTCCACTTCACTTCCAACCTATCACACAGACAATGGCAGACCTTCACATGAGGAAACCATCCGAGAGGAAATGAACCTTGAGTGACAAAACAGTCCACACCACTAGCATCCAGCAAACACTGATAGCCCAAGTAGATTTAATTGGGGCAAGACTTCCCCAAGTGCCTTGTATGAAAGCACTCTCCTGGGTATGTTCCATTTCCTCGTAGGGCAGTAACTATCAGTGTGAGCATGTGTGATAATGGATTTGTTATTAAACCCCACCCTACCCATGCTTCAGGGATCGTAGCCACAGAGTTATCAAAGTGTAGTCTTATTCATGCGGGAAAGACTCGGCCCCTATTGCCTTGCCAACTTCTGCTTCTAGTTCATGTAATTATTTCTGTTAGACAGCTCTTTTCCTGGAAGTCTGCCAGTTGTCAATTTGTACACGAGTTTTAAGATAGCCTCGAAACGTCCATACTTTCCCTAACTTGGTTCATCTCAGGTAATGGTGTGCTGTTCCCCAGCAGTCCTCTCTCCATCGAAGGTCACTGTGTTCTCTCTCCACATGCCCCACCGCCCTCCCCCTGTTTTACTTTTGTAGCCATGCTGGTCTGGAACTTGCTATGTAGCATAAGCTGTCCTCAAACTCAAAATCCCCTGCCTCAGCCTACTAGGCACTGGAATTATGGGGTGTGCACCAACAGGCCAGTCTTTGAAATGTTCTCCATGTCTTAGAGTAGGGACTCAGAACCAGACAAAGTGGTACACGTCTGTAATCCTAGCACACTCCAGGCAGGAACATCAAGAGTTCTCCTGGGCTACATAATATGTCAGAGCTTAGCCTACAGCTGTACAATAAGATGCTGTTGTCCTTCCCACCCCTTGAAAAAAAAAAAGAAAGAAGTGGCAAATAATGGTGTGTGTGTGTGTGTGTGTGTGTGTGTGTGTGTGTGTGTGTGTGTACTGATGAATAAATTGAACAAAAGGATCATTTTATATGTCTCTCTCCATGGACTACTGTGAGTACCATAACTTCCTAGCTTTGGGAATGTTTCCTAAGCTTAAGACTCTTCAGGTGGGTAGTGTTGGTACACGCCTTTAGTCCCAGCACTGGGGAGGCAGAGCCAGGTGGATCTCTGTGAGTTCTAAGCCAGCCTGGTCTACGGAACAACAAGAGCCAGGACAGGCACCAAAACTATAGGGAGAAACCCTGTCTCAAAAAAAAAAAAAAAAAAAAAAGACTCTTTAGGCTCCAAGGTATATCTCTAAGTTACTACACAACACTGAATATATATTCTGGAACATTTTTTTTCCCATGACAACTTCCTGTTTCTATGAGTGCTGAGACAGAATCAAGACCTTCCAATTCTAAAAGTTTCAGAGTCATGTCCACAAGGATCTCAGCATAACATAGTCAAAATATCTTTTTCATGTGGTGGACTTGTTGGCTTAGGGATTTAGGGGATGATATCAGTCAAGAGGAGACATGAATGTTTTATGTAGTACAGACTGGGATACATCTTATTTTGATTGACACAGAGTTCAAACCCAGGACTACGAAATGAAGAGAAATAGGAAATACCCAGTAACAAAAGTCTCCATCTCTAAAGTATATAGCGCAACGTAAGACTTGAACCCACAGCCACACCTCCAATGGGGGTGTGACAGTCTCTTGGGAGTGTTGTACCCACACTTTCTGGGTCCTTGTCCTCTTCATTCTCCTCTTCTCTGCGCCCCTCTGTCTGGGTCTCAATGTCAGAATGGTCATTTGCTTTCTTTTCAAAACCTGCAATTCTGAAAAACAATAGCAGCAAAGGCATGTGGAAAGGTTTTCCTTCTACAAGAGGATAAGCAGCTCTAGCAGCACTCCCTGGGGCTACCAAAGCCTGGAAAGAAAGAGATGTTTTCAAAGTCTCTTTATATTTGCCTCATTAGCAGTGGTCTTGTTCTTTATCTTAACGCTGGCTAGAACCGCTGTGACTTAAGGTCAGTACACACGGAACATAGCTGTCTCAGTACAGATGAAGCAAAGAGAGGCTGTGTTTGAAGGTGGAAGACTGGCTGGCATGGTGGTGCGGGACTGTAATCTCAGCTACCGGGGAATCTGAGGAGACAAAGTCACCAGTTCAAAGGCTGCCTGGGGGACCTCACAATCGCTATTCAAGGCCAGGCTTGGCAACTTCAGAGGACCCTGTATCAAAATACAAATAAAATGTAAAAATAGAACTGGGGCTCTCGATCCATGGTAGAGTCCTTGCCTAGCATGCCTATGTCCCTGGCTTCAATCTCCAGTACTTAAGTCTATACACATAGTAGGTTTTGTATATGCATGTAATTTTCCTCCCACTACAAATCCTACAAATGACTTTCTCAGCCACGTGCCTGCAGGAACAAAGAGATAGCAGCAGCAGCAGCAGCAGCAGCAGCAGCAGCAGCAGCAGCAGCAGCAGCAGCAATAAACAGAAAGGACAGAATGAGTGGCCAGGGTTAATGTTCCAAACCAAGAACAGGGAGAGCCAAGAAGTTACCCATGTCATACTGTTGAAACTTTTTATGGCTTGGGAATTGGGGATACCATGTGTATCCATAGGATGGGGCTAAAAAAGGCAAAACAAGGGGGCTCAGGATACAGAGATGTCAGCACAGAGGAGGGATTGGGTTTGCTACCTAAAGGAAGGGAATTTATAGCCACGGCCCTTGCCCTCTCCTTTTCATCAAGAACCCTGCTGTCTAGAAAGACATCATCTAAGCAGGAGACGGAGAGATCCTCTCTGGAGAACTGCTCTAGGAATAGGCAAAACATTTAAGGTTTTAGACCCAGCCTCACCAAGGAAATGCCCAAGCTGAGTTCCCAAAGCTTTGAGTGGCTTCCAAACTCTCCTCCCTGCTAAATCTGACCAGCCAAGATCTTTAGACATTTGAGGAAAACCTTGAAATAAAACATATTCTGTACTGAAAATTGAACAGATGAGTGTAAAGGAGAGATTATCATTAATATCCCTAGAGACCCAAGCATTATTTGCACCCATTAAAAATTAAAAAAACACCCTAAAAAGATAAACATTGGTCGATCTGAGAGTGAGCAAGAGAACACAGATGGCATAGAGGATCACAGGTTAAGAAAACCACACGACCAGTTCTATCTAAAAGTAATAAGATGATAGCAGGTTCTAGAAAAGTGAAAAAGGACCAAGTTTAGACATAATTCCTACATTAATGGAGACTGCTTTGTAAGGAGTTCGGAGAACAACGAAAAGGTTCAATGGAAGTCAGAACAAATGAATGAAAAACAGCCTCACCAAAAACCTGTGTCACATTTCTGACTACTCGGGACACACTGAAGAAACTGCATGCAGGGGTAAGTGAAAAAGTTCCACCCAAAAAGAATCCGAATCAGAAAGGCAATAGGTTTCTCAACAGTAACCTGAAGCTAGAGCACGCCAAAGCAATGCTTTAAACTTCACATGGAAAACAAGCCTAGAGTTCCCTGTTTAGCCAAACTGGTCATCAAGAATAAAGAGGAAGACTTTTGGATAGGCAGAGCTCAGAAAATATTCTCCTCTCATATTCTTTCTCAGTACATCAGTAGAGATGTAATTAGAGATTGGGAAAACTTGGAGCTACAGTTTGAACATCCCCTCCAAAACTCATGGGGAGATTTTAGGGGGTAGGGGATTTTTATTTTTATTTTTATTTTGTGTGTGTGTGTGTGCGCATATGAATGCAGAGGTCAGGAGAGGGCATCAGATCCTCTGGAGTCACTCAGTGTGGGTGCTGGGGACCAAATTTAGGTCCTTTGTAAGAGCACTATATGCTCTGAACTGCTGAGCCATGTCTCCAGCCCTTCATGTTACCACCCAATTACCATAGCGCCATAGCTGCCCTGCCCTCAGGAAAGCTATCATTTCAGGAGTGGGTTCCTAATAAAAGGCTTGACTGTTTTCTGTTGAAAGCCTCCAGAACTGTAGGCTGAATCCACTTCCACAGTCTAGAACTCATTCTGTTAAAGGAACAGAAAACAGACCAAGACATTAGGCAAATGTTTAAGTGGCTAATTTTGCACTGAGATATAAAAAGTCTAAGAAGGAAAAGTGATCATTGCACAGAGCATGGTCCAACTGTGAGAACACATATCCACTGTGTGCATGTGTCTAAATGCTCAGTAACGTGAACACTGAGTAGGCATTTGACTAAAGCTCAAAGTTATCGATTTCAGCTGGGGACAGGAGGCAGTGCAAGTTCCAGAAATGCATGTAGTGTGTTGATGATGGCTGTACAAGACAGGTAAGTCTTCCTCAGCCATACTTAGGGGTCAATATGTCACCATTAAAAATCTTCAAAGACAATAACAGTTCAAACCTTATCCATGAAGGCAGCTACCAAAGGAACCAGGCAGATGAGTTGAGAGTGACTGAGAAGCAGCAGTGTGGGTGGGAAGGGGCTGCTCGAAGCACTGCTTCTCCACAGGCTCCTGTCAGTCAAAGCACTGCTTCTCCACGGGCTCCTGTCAGTCAAAGCACTGCTTCTCCACGGGCTCCCGTCAAAGCACTGCTTCTCCACGGGTTCCTGTCAGTCAAAGCACTGCTTCTCCACGGGCAGTCTGCAGAGCCCATCTTTGTTATTATTTTTGTGTTGCAAACTGTCAACCCTAATTGGTATGCAGCACCGTCTCTCTGGCTCGGCTGAATACATGGCTGAGACACCAGATGGTGAAGGCAGGAGGGTGGCTTATTAACACTGTAGTACTGTTCACCTTGACACAGGTCTTGACCTACATTTGAATTACAAGTTATCTTAATTTTCTAGGGCAAACATTCGCTTTGAGTCATCTTTCCCTTGCTGTTTAAACCGGGGCTACACTCCCTAAGAACTTCTTTCTCCTTACTGCCGTATTTAGAAAATACAGATTAAGTCAGTTGTGGCGGTGCACACTTTTAATCTCAGCACTCAGGAGTTGAGCAGGTGGGTCTCTATGAGATCAGCATGGTCTACCACAGCATGTTTCAGGCCAGCCAGAGCTACATAGTGAGACCCTATCTCAAAAAAACCTAAAACAACAAAAACCTAAAATAACAAACAAAAACAAAAACTCAACACGACAGACAAAAACCAAAACCAAAAAGCCCTCAAATAGCATGAAGCATGAAAGCCGCACATACCCCAAAGAAGAAAGGCAAACCTACTACTGTCCTTTCCCCCATATATGCCCTAAAATTTTATCTTCATTAAAATTAAATGTAGAACACCTGTATCTGTTTCCAGTGATTGGGGAGAAAGGCAGAAAGCTGGCCCACTTATTTCAGAAAAACACAGGGTTGGTCTTGCAATGTGTTTGTGCCATAACCGATTTCAGTGTGTGTGCAAATCAGGCTGGGTGACCATGTGTCCATGACGTGTCTTGGCTTCAGTCCTGCCTTGTCTGAGAAGCACCCGCTCCCCTGGTACCATGCAGAGAATATGAATCTCTGCAACGACTTATTGCCTGGCCCTGTTAAATACTGAGAGTCATCTGGGTCACAAGACAGAAGTTCAATGTCATTGAAAAAGGGACCTTTCCAGGGTACTCAGGGTTGGGTGTGCACCTCTAAAGAGCTATACACCTTCCAGTATCCAGGGAGAAAGCTGGGTTTTGTTTGAATGCAGGAAGAAAGATTAGGAATATATGATTAGCAAGCTGCCAAGCTTACACATCTTCTATTTTATTATACACCAGCATCAAGGAACAGAGTACTATCGTACACAACATTGTAGATGAAGCTCAAAAACACTCTGGTGGGTGGAAGCAGTCAGTCACAGAAGACCAGTGCTGTATTAATGTCCAGTATTCAGAGATCTCCAAAGACAGAGAGTCAGCTACCGGGAGAAGTGGGTAGTGAACGCTGAGGGGTACTGATTCTTTATATGGAGGAAATGTTCTAAGACTAGATTGTGGCAATGGGCATAGTCATGTGACTAAAAGCCTTGGAATGTACACTTTAAAGGGAGACCTTCGTGGTATCTTATTTGTGTTTTTCTAGCCCATTAATCTTTCACATTGATAGTTCATACCTTTCTTTGGCTTCTCTGAGTGCCATTTCAAGTCTCTCCACCTTTTGGTTTCCTTCCCTCAGGCAAAGCAGGAGTTGGCTCACAGTTAATTCCTCAAACTCCACATAGGTCCTGGCATCTTCTATAGATTTGGTCCTAATAAGACATCACCAGCACATTCAGTATGGAAGTTAAAAGAGTTTTAATCTCAACACAAATGTCAAGAGTAAGAACAGAGACGCCCAGTACAGCCGAAACCAACGTCCTCCAGTCAGTTCTCAACTGCCCCAAGCATAGCTGATCCTGGACTGTTTAACTCTTCTATGCACGCTGGGAAGGCTGTGGGGGCAGCTAACATGATGCTTCAAGGAAGCTAACCTCATAATGTGAGCGCTCACTCCAAAGAGTTACTGCGATCTGTAGAGATCCGGTTTCAGAGAGGGCTGCAGACAGGTACATTCAGGCCATTGCCCACTCCAGCTTGTTAGAGACTTATCACCTTTGTGAGTCAGGTAAGACAAACTGCTCTGGTTTTGGTTTCCCACAGAGCAGAGACATGTCGACACTACTGACAAATGTTTTTCTAAGTTTCAGAAGCTGGTCAAGAGACACAAACAGCTATGACCGTCAGCCAGTGACGGAATGTGCAGAGTGACGACCAGGACGGCAGGGATGGCAGCTAGTCTTTCCGTCATCTGCTAGGCTCACACAGCTACCAGCCAGGATTAAAGGCTCCAAAGCTGGAGCTCCAAGCCTGCAAACCAGTATCAGAGCCCTTACCAGACTCATAAAAGGTAAGAGCTACTGGCCTGAAAGAGGAAATAGCTTTTACATATGAAAATAAAGGAAGAGGAAGTGCTTTTAAAATTACAAATAGTTTTTTTCTTCCCTCTATTTCCAGGAAAGTTTTGATATTAAAAGCAGCAATTTAGGGAAAGTTGAATTTTAAATTAAAAAAAAAAAACAACCCAAAACCCCCAAAACAGGAATAACACTCACATATACCAATTACTTAGGTAAAAAACTGTTGTATTATTTACATTCTCCATGACATGAAAACATAGGGGCAGACATAAAAAAAAGTTTTGCTACTTTTACTGTGTCATTCTCTATGCATATTTATCAAGTAATAGAAAAAAGTTTTAAAAATCTGTGAGGTAAGAGATGCAGAGAAATTCTAAGCAAGCGGACAGGCCAATGGACTAATGTTGCATGTCCACACACAGAGAATAAGCAAACCACCAGCTTTGGGTAATATTGCCTTCAAGAACCAAGAAGTTCAGTGCCTAGATCTTCTACTGCCTCTGCTCAAAGGCCCTTCCATGACTTGTGTGTTTTCTAGAACCTGCTGGGGAAAGGCAGATTTGAGATTCCATAGGTAAGTTCCCTGACATTTTTGAGGTTGACAAGATAGCTCAGTGGGTCAAGACGTTGCCATCAAGTCTGATGGCCTGAGTTTGATCCTCAGAACCCACATAGTGGAGAGAACAGGTGTTCATAAGCTGTCCTGTGGCCTCCACGTGTGTGCTGTGGCATGTTCCTTCCCTAGCATATACATACACACTAATAATAAGCTAAGGAAAAAGGTCTGGGGCACTTTCAAGAAATGTCCCAATGACTGACAGCTATCACGGCCATTGTCTTGGTAACCAGTATTGGCTACTGTGGCTTATTATAATCAGGAAATAACAGGGAAGAGAAAAAGGGTACATCCCATTTAAGGAAGCTGGCAGCCTGTTTACTTCGAGCAGCTCTGACAGACCAATGAGCAAACAGGACTGCTGACTAGGAATGAGTCCCTTTTTGGTTGAGGATGAATTTGCTTACACTCCTAACAGAAAGGAAACTCCTCTTAACAGAGGCTCAGCACTTCCTAGCCCTCTGTTAAAAAGGCACCAGACATTGTTTCCATTTCCCGCCAGTTTGGGCTGCAACGTTAAACGCTATTGGAGAAAATGCATGTTAGTTGGTGGGGAGCCGAGGTGGGATGGTTGCAGATTCAAATCCAACCTGGATTACAGAGGAACACCCTGCCTCGGAAAACAAAGTAAGTTACTTTTCTTCAGTGCCTCATGCCTAACCTCCAACGATAGGCTCAGAGTGACAAGACTGCCCCTTCCGTGCGCCTGACAACTCTGGAGTTCCACCACCTACATGTTGATGGCGTCAGTTCTTGTAGGTTTAAGACTGTTGTTCTTCATTTCCTTCTCTGCCCCCTCAGCTTCTCCTTCCTGTAAACGCAGAGACAAAAGGAACTGAAGACAATAAATTTGCAAGACAGATCCCTTTCCCAAGGAAAAAGACAAAAGATTCCACCCAAGGAAAATACTCAGCTTTTGTATGAGATATGATCTAAACTGGGTCACTCATGAAACAGAAAACACTCTCCTCTGGGCCTGCACACCCTGTCAGGATTATAAATATCTAGGCATGAAGGTCGGTCTCCTACAACAGAACAACCTCAACCCAACTCCATAAGCGTGTGGATGAGGCTTACAAAGCAATGGTTTTGCCAAGGCAGCTGCCATTATAAATTTGCCTGCACCACTGCCTGTTAGGGAACCAAAGCCTAAAGACTCAGACTAGCAGGATTTGTGAGCTGGTTATATTTCCATAAGCTAATGGAGTAAATTGTCACAAATCCTCAAAGATGGTTCGGGATGCTTAGGCTACTCTCTTCCTAAGCCATGGACAGAGTTTTCCAGCTCACAGGAGGAAAGTGAAGCACATTTACACTCACAATAACTGCCACCCGTCTGGGAGGCAGCAGATGATGCTAACCCTGGAGAGCCAGCCCTCTTTGGAAGCTTGTGATAAAATTTCTGGGTTTCCTGACTTTTATCAGCCATTTACAGGGCTAAAGCTCTAACTTTGTGTTTCAGTCATCTTCAGCCACTTGTAGACAAGTATGCTTTTCAAATCTTCATACTGGGTACCCTGAATGAATTTCTTAGAGGGTCATTTCCACATGTACTGATCTGTAGAGCAGCTGGTGAGTAAGAAGCCCCACACTAACGACCCCAGATCTATCTGTACCTTAGGTGTCTTGTAAGCTGCTCTCCACTCTCCGAGCTTATCTACAAAGTCCACTCCTCTCCTTAATCTCTTTTCTCACATCAGCTATGACTCTGACAAAGTGGAATGACACTTCCATTACAAAGGATTTTGTCCTGGTGTGCTTTTTACCCTCAATTCAGGTATCTTTTAGCATCACTGAGGAGAGAGCCCTCTAATGCTTATCCACCTGTTTTTTTTCTCTTATGAGACTCAGTATACCTAGATATCATCAAAAGAGACACCCCACAAGAGCTCAGAGATTAATATACACTGCCTCAGTTGGCCAATTCACTTGGGGTGCACAGAATTGAAATTTGATAGCTCTGACTTCAAACTCTGTTCTCAGAAGCCAATTCACAGCTTCTAGCAGGGAGGTAAAGACGAGCTCCTCCTCACTCTACACCCAGAGTAACTCTGTTCTTCCTGCCCCATGCCAATATTTATTTTATTATTGATTATATACATGTGTGTATTGGTGTGTAAGTAAGGGTAGGTGAGTACAGGTACCATCTGAGGCCAGAAGAAGGTGTCAGTGCTCTGGAGCTGGAGTTAAAGGCAGTTGTGAGCCAATGTGGATGCTGGGAATGGAACTCAGCTCCTCTGGAAGGGCAGTATTATTTTAATTGCTGAGTCATATCTCCAGCCACCCCACCCCCCTCTTTTTGATACAAGGTTTCATGTATCACAGGCTGCCCTTGAACTGGCTATATAGCTTAGAATAACCTTGAACTTCTGATCCTCCTGCCTCCACCTACTGAGTCCCAGGATTACAGGTTTAAGCTACTATACTCAGTTTTGTTTTTCTTTTTTTTTTTTTGGTTTTTCGAGACAGGGTTTCTCTGTGACGTAGTCCTGGCTCTCTTGAAACTCACTCTGTAGACCAGGCTGGCCTCGAACTCACAGAGATCTACCTGCCTCTGCTTCCTGAGTGCTGGAATTAAAGGCGTGCACCACCACCGCCCGGCTACGATCAGTTTTACGTGGCACTGGAGATGGAACCCAGGACTTCATACACGAAGCATACATTGCCAGGCTTATACGGCTAGTGTCAGGTCCAAAGGCAACTCCAGTTCCCTAAACTACAAAGGCAGTGCCTATGTCCAGAAATGACAGTCGTGGCCATGTGCAGTTTGCTTCTTTTCTCTTTGATACAGACTCGTCTAGCTGCCGCTGGATATTTTCTCTCTCTTATCCACAATCAAAATCCCCCTCCTAATAGTGGAGGGGCCAGGTCAATGGTTTCTTTACGCACCCTTCACGTGCATACAGGACAACCCTTGTCCAGTGCTAAACACTTAAAAATAAACAAGCTTCCAAAGAGGGCTGGCTCTCTAGGGTTAGCATCATCTGCTGCCTCCCAGACGGGTGGCAGTTATTGTGAGTGTAAATGTGCTTCACTTTCCTCCTGTGAGCTGGAAAACTCTGTCCATGGCTTAGGAAGAGAGTAGCCTAAGCATCCCGAACCATCTTTGAGGATTTGTGACAATTTACTCCATTAGCTTATGGAAATATAACCAGCTCACAAATCCTGCAAGTCTGAGTCTTCAGGCTTTGGTTCCCTAACAGGCAGTGGTGCAGGCAAATTTATAATGGCAGCTGCCTTGGCAAAATTTAATAGCCAATTTATCTCTGTTACACTCTTACTCCTCATTTGGCTTAGCTGTGTTGACAGCAAATTGTGGGTAATTGTTTCCTGTGTCCCCAGGAGGCTGGCTGGCTTGCTTCACATGTCCAATTGTCAAGCAAGCACTCTTACCAATTAAGCTACACAATCAATACATTTTACCATTAAAATGTATCGATTATTATTATTATTATTATATTATTTGTGGGGGGGCTCTGTGTGGGTGATTGCTCTGTAGGGCAGGTGCACAGGCCAGTTGACAACTCTGTGAAGTCAGCGTTCTCCTTCTGCCTTACTGTTGGGGGTTCCAGAGACCAACTCAGGCTGTCGGGCTTATGTGGCAAGCACCTTTTCCAGCTGAACCATCTTTTCAGTCCCTCTTATTTTTAATTATCATGGTTCCTCACTAGACTTTGCAAAGAGCCCATTAAACACTATTAAGTTCAATTCCTTGGATCCACATCGTAGGAGAGAACCAATTCCTCAAAGTTGTCCTCTGACCACCACACAGTTTTATGGCACTTATAAAAAATAATTTAAGCTGTTTAAAAATCACCCCAAACATATGATCACAATTTTGCTCTCCTAAGTGAACTACTCAACACAATTCTGAGATTTGGTTTGGGGAAAAAAAAGACAAAATTCATGCTTCTGGTTTTCATTTGGGATATTTTTGTTTGTTTTCAGATCAGTTATAAAAATGTCCAATTTGGCAGGAACAGATGTGGGGTGAGGACTCTATCTTTTTTCCAGATAGCTGAGTAATTTTTTTTATTTTAGCTAGTATTGGATTCCAATATAAACAGACCCTTGTTAGGCCTCATCTTACACTTCAAAAATGGGAGCAGATTTATCTCTGTTATACTGGAATTTCCTCATTATTTGAATAGGCTGTGTTGACAACACACTGAGGTATTATTTTTTGCATGTCTAGAGGGGGGAGGGTTGGGCGTTTGCTTCATATAAAAACAACCACAATTCTTACAGCCATCCTGATCTCAACAAAGGAGTCTTCTGAGGAGCCACTGGAGTTGAGCTTGAGCTGCAGTTCGGAGACGATGCCCAGCAGGTCTGCCTTTTCAGCCTGAAGGCGCATCACCTGGGTCTTCAGCTGTTCTACTTCCTGCTCCAAGTCTGCCCTGGGGAGCCTGGAGTCACTTATGGAGCCCTGGGAAGACCAAGAGTGTGCAAAAATACAAAAATCAAACCAAGGTCTGGCCAGCAAACTTGATGGCCAAACATCACAGACAATGTTCATGACTGCGCTCTCTCTCTCTCTCTCTCTCTCTCTCTCTCTCTCTCTCTCTCATTCAAAGCAGGGTATCATGTAGCCCAGGTTGGCCTTAAACTCAGAGCTGAGATAGCCTTGAACTTTGGAGCCTCCTACCTCTACCTTCCAAGTGCTGGTATTATAGACATGTACCACGATGTCCCATTTTATATTTGTGTGTTGGGGATGCACATGTGGGTGGGTATGCTCATGGTGTGTGTGTGTGTGTGTAGAGGAAAACATTAGGTATCACTCCTCAGGTGCCAACCATCTTGTCCACCTGTTGTTTTTTTTTTTTTTTTTTTTTTTTGGAGACAGGTTCTCTTACTGATCTAGGACTTGACAAG